AAATTGTCAGCATCCCTTTAAGCCCAACACTGTTCTTTTCCTTGTTTTCCCTTCTGTGTGCCAAAGCTGTCCCCAGAGGACATTGCATCTAACCTGGCAAACAAAAGGAAGAGTTCCTACTTCTTTGTGATTAAAATGACTGGCATATTGCAGAAAACCCTCTGCTACTTCCATCTCTGCAAGCTTTGCCTAAAATGTGCTGAGCTGCCTCAGCCCACAAATAGGTGAGTAGTTTAGAGACTTTTTACTAACCAGTAAATAATATCGCCCTTCTGTTTTGGTTCTGTTTGAACTATGGAGGACACTCATTTGCTCCCAGATTCTTAGGAGCACAGCCCAGACTACTGGTTCCTGACGAGAAACTGGTGAGGGAATAGAAATGGGAGACCAAGCTCGCCATCTCCTGGAGAAAAGGAATTTATGCTTTCAGAAATGTTTTATTTCATTCCTTCTTTTCATTCTCACTTTTCTTTCATTCACATGTGCCGCAGCGTGTTGGCAGGAGATGGACGGGTGCTGTTCTGTGCCGAGCCATGCCGAGCCAGGCAGATCCGGGCCAGGCAGAACCCCTTTCCATCCCTTCCTATCCCTCCTCCATCATCATCCTTCTCCCAGCTCTGCTGGGTTTTCAAGATCTTGGGGAAGAGTTTGGGTCTGGTTTTTCAGAGGGAGTGAGAGGACCCCAAGATGCCCCAAACCAATGAAGTTTTAAAAGCAGATTTACAGAGCAAACTTAGTTGTCATCACTGCCTCTCCTTTCATGATGTCTCTTAAATATGCGTGAGAAAGTTTTATAAGAAAACATACCATGTTAAAAAAATAATCCTAAATGTGAGTGGAGTCTGTCCCAGTTTAGCAGTCTGGAAATATTCAGGTAACAGGTTAACTTATACCAGATTCTCTCAAGACAGTGAAATCTAGGCTTGAGAGTTTTAGCAAACTAGGATAATGCTGAATCTAAGCTAATTTTTTTTTTTCCTCTATGGAGGATTAGGCTGGATATTTGGAAAAGCTTCTTCCCGCAGAGGGTGGCTGAGCACTGGAACAGGCTCCCCAGGGAAGTGGCAGCACCAAGCCTAACAGAGTTCAAGGAGCATCTGGACAACATTTTCAGGCACATGGTGGAATTGTTGGGGCTGTCCTGTGCAGGACCAGGAGCTGAACTTCATCATTGTGAGTCCCTTCCAACTTGGGATATTATGTTGGGATATCCTTTTTGGCTTGCCATGCCAGCTCTGACCCTGCTGTGGTCCCTCTTTTTCCTGTAACACTCGGTACAACATGACAGTAAATTATGTGGGTACAGGGTGGGTACACAGTGCTGGAATTTTGTTGTATACTTCACATGTACTTCAGCAGCAATAATGTCAGCGACAAGATTCATAGGCATTAATAACTCCAGAAGAGAGGTTTGTAGAGTGTTGAACAGCAACAATCAGGTTCTTAATGTGATTAAAAGGGCAAGGACCATTTGGCTACTGCCACATATGTCCTGTGGAGTTTAGGGGCGTTATAAAGGGTATAGAAGATGATGTAGTTACTGTCTAGTCACAGTATGACACTTCACTTTTCACAGATAGTTATATGTCACTTCAAAAACTGATCCTTACAGTGAGGCTTCTAAGGGTATCTACAAATTTTTGGGGTGTAATTAAAAAATTCAGGACTTTTTGCACATTCTCATCAGCTTTGCCACAAAAGTGTCCCTGCTGTAGTTTCTGAGGTGTTTGTAGTGCAGCTGCAGCACCTTCAAACTACTGGGGCCAGATGATGTGAACTGAGAGAACTGATGAAAACACTGGGCAGGATTGCCAAATACAAGGTCTTGCACACAGGGCTGTGTTAGTGCAGTGATATTCCTGACTTGGTTATTGGAAACTGGTAAACCAACTGGAGACTAAATTACATAACGTTAACCAAGTTACACCTTGGAGAAGCTAGTTATTTGATAAGCAAGGCCCAAATGCCACAAGCATCATTAACCTCTTCAATTAATAGCAGAGTGAAAAATCAGCAACTACCTGCACAACATCTCTGCAGGGGTGAGGAGTATATGATAGTTGGTGTAATTACTCTGTCATGGAGTAATGCTTCTGCTGAAGGGGTCAGAAAGTTAGGAAAGGGTCTGGGGAGGTGGGATTCCTCAACTGCAAGTGCTGCCACTCTACAGCTTAGTGAAAAGAAGTGCTGAATTTATTAAACTGGCAACTTTTGTAGGGGTTATTACAACTCAGAACAAGTCAGCTGAAGAAATTACACCACTAGGTAGGTGGTTCCTAGTACCAAAAACTGAGATTAAGGTGGACTGTGGTGATTTTTAAGTGAGATGTTCATTTTAGCAAGAGACCTATCCCAGATTTGTTACCAAAAAAAGCCTTTTTCAATCCTGAGCTGGGCAGGTGGTTCAATCTATACCATTAAATAAACTCTGTTATCACCAGTGAAAATCAGATACCAAAAAAATGGAAACTAACATTTTTAACTTAGGTCAAAACAATCCTAAACAATTTTACTATTAATGAAATACCTTGTTTTAAGTGAAATGGTAAGACCTCAGTTATAAACAAAAACTTTGTATAGATGGTAGTTTTGGAAGAGCTTGAATATGTAATGTTTCACATATTAAACCCAAAACTTAAATACAGAGTAGTTATTATACCTTTACCAAAGCATCATGAGGACTTGTAAAGTCCTCCACTGTTTTAAATCGAAGTTTAAAGATCATTAATTGAAGTCAAAGCTAGAAATCTTAAAGCATTTTATTCCAAAGTTTTTCTTGCTCTCAATCACGTCTATACAATTTTTAGTCTGAACACCCTAAAGTACACATATTCTTGCAATAAAAGGAAGCATTGTTTGTATTGGTTTGAATAATACCAAGCTTTAATGTTTTTAATGCTTTTTCAACAGTCAGATCCAATATAACGTGTGAATTGTGAAATTACAATTTGACTTTAACTTGCATACTTATGCTTTACAAATAAATTTATCATTGTTTTGGTTACTGTAACTGGATTATCACTTGATAATACTGTACATATGGAATATGAATTTTCTATTTCTCAAATACTGGAATAAGGATGAAGTTTTTGAGCTCCACTTCACCATGAAGGCTTGTGGTTTCCTGGGAGAAGTTAACTCAGGTGATTCACATACTGTGAGAGTTTGTTCTTTAGTAACGTCCTTGGACAATTCTTTCTCCAGAAATGAACACTTGTGGTGCTAACCCTGTTCAAGGGACATGCAAACTGTTAAGTGCAGAATGGTCACTATGATTCTGAAAGGCACAGTATGTAGAGGTTACCAGGCTCAGCCATCAGAAGTGGAGAGGGATTTCACTGCTTCATGAGTATGAGGGAAAAATGGAAAGAAAAATAAACAAAAGAGGTCAGTGCCGGCAAAGTAACAAGCTGATAACAGAGAAGAGATGAGTACATTTAGGCGAGTCCCACCAAACAGCAGCAATATGTGGAGGGAGGGTGTAAATCTAACTCATTTTGAGGGAACAGCAGTTTTATGATAAGATCACATATGACTGGCTGCAGTAGCAGGCATATTATTCTCTGCGTAGCAGTCTCAATAAAAAGGACTTTATTGTGAAGTACTCCTGCTGGCTGGGTAATGACAGTCCTACTCAGCCTCTCTTGTTTTATGTACCTTTCTCTGAGCAGTCTCAGCTCTTCTGGCTGAGCCAATAATAAAATGCCTAACAATTTAGGCAAATATTGAAGGCAAGCTGTCACAGCGTCCCAAATCTTGGGCTAGAAAATACCAGCACCTTATTGCAGAATGACTTGAGATATACCCCTTGAAGTCATCATATGTTTGTCATGTCTCTGATCTAGTGGGCACACCCCTTTATTAAGGTTCAACAAGCAACTTTGAGCTACATGAACACAGCTCCACTCCAACACTGGAAAAGCCTTCTCAGTTTTAAGTCTTTCTTTTCTTTACAACTATTCTATAGTTGTATAATGGTTTTACATGAGAACTCCACGCAACTATCACTTCTTCATTCCATTAGACACTACTTTTTGGCTATAACTTCACTATTTACCTCAAGGACTTCCTCTGTGTGTTAGCTTCCTCAGCTCCTCTAGCACTACAGTACTTCATCCTGCATTATTTACCTCCTCAGTGATTCTTACCTTCTAAAACTATATAAACTACTTGAGATTTTTTTTTTAAGGCTAGGCTGCAGAGGCAACAAAACTTCCTCAAACTGAAGTATTCTGTTACAGATGTTTTTCACAGCTTGAATCTTACAGAAGGTATTCTTAAACATCCATCTTCTCCTTTCAGATTCCCCTATGAGACATGAAATATACCAGTTTGCCTTGATATCACACTAAGCTTTATAATCTTTGCTCAAAGTAGACCTTACCAAGTGACTCCTCATACAGCTGATCCTGATGCATGAGCTGCACTACATCATTATCTCTTAAAGGCACAAGCTTCATTTACACTTTTACTCTAAGCCCACACTCTGTGGGGATGCATAAAATTAATTAACAAAGTTCTTGTAAGTTTATGCACACTTCTCGAATGATTTCATGTTTCCAAACACAACAGACTATGTTTTGTGTCTTGAAGCAGACCCAAATGTTATATGATAGGTGGGACTTTGCCATAAACAAAACATTTGGATCCAGACTTCTAGTTTGGAGCACTAGAGAAGGTCATCAGAAGAGTCTGAATTTTGTTGATTTTCTGCACTTAACTCCTCCATACTCTCAATGCACATATATTTATAAACTTCTACGTCAGGGTCATCACCTTTAATATTGCAAAGAGCTGGTGCCCATGGAAAAAGGTGCCCTGAAGCTGTATTATAATGAAGAGAAGACAGTAAAACATGAATCAATCTGAACAGGAAACAAAAGATCCTTCTTCAGCAAGAAACATGCACATCCATTAAACCAGCCTACAAACTTGGCACCATCACAAAGAGGCTGAGGTAACCCAGGACATCTCTTCCAGACTGAAAAGGATTCACAAAATCAATTACCATTTCATTCTTTAATTAAATGAAGATTTACACCAACAACAGAACAATTTGGAGAAGTATAGGCACATACTACCACAGAAGAGTTTCCTACAGTACAGAGAACAGACTTCAGTTACTTTCCCCGTCTGGTTTTTGTGCAGCAAAAGCAAAGCCCAGAGTCCAATAAACCCCAACATGAATTATGTGAACTCCTTTTTTTCTTTTCAGACAGAAGGAGGAAATTATTTCCTGCTAAAGATGTTCAGACTAGTCATTTTGCAAATGGTGCTACTAAGCTGATCAGAAGGGAATGTGCATAATTGCCCTATTTCAAAGCACTATCCTGTAATAACCATCTGCAGCATGGCTGTGCTTCACTGAGGGAGAGGGTGCTACATCTAGCACGCACCTCAGTATATGCACATTCCAGAGAGAAGAACCTCCTCTTCTAACACTGGAAGGCAGCCTGTTAACCAGTTTGAGCCTTTTAGATTCTCATTTCGGGGCAGAGGCATAGCACTTGTTTCACAGGCTGCAGCTATTTGCTCCTTCCACCTATGACCCTTGTGATTAAGCCCAGCTCTGAGCCCTCCAACTCTCTTCTGAAACGGTGAACAGCTTTTGTTCAACAATATATTGTGAAAGTACTTTTTGGTATCGTGAATATTTAAGTGTTAGCTTTTCAAAAGCTATCTCATTAATTCAATGAAGAAACTTCTTCAGTTTTGTTTTGTTAAAACAGACAACATGTTGCACTGGACTGCAACCTATGAGAGCTGTAGGTAGAAAATACTTCCATTCCTTGCTGCTGGAATCTGTGCCAATATTCATTTGTTTGCAACGGCAGAAAGTTGGTCCCGAATCCTTCCTAGACCTTCTAACATAGTGTCCAGGGTTTCTTTACTCAGTTCCACAGTCAGTGCAGAAACAACAGGATTATTTCCACATAAGGCAGCATCTTCCTGAATCTTAAAACAGAAATGCAGACATTAGTTGTATTAAAAATTCATTCACATGTTTTTCCAGTACCACCAAGAAAGTCAGTGTTTAATGGGCAGATTAAGAAAAATGCTTTAAATTTGGAATCCAGCTCCATCCTCAAGGACCATGGCACACTTTCTAAACTGTGTGCCCCACTAGTGAAGTGCACTCCAACTGACAGAGTACAAGTGAGCATCTACTGCCATGAGTATAGAGAAATTTTGAAGACTTGAGGCAGGAAGCCACATCTGTATCAAAAGCATCTTAGCAGATACCACATAGGATACTTAACCCCATCCCACACACAGAAATTAGATTTTTTTCCTCATCCTCTGAAACCCACTCATTCCACTTTTACTGGCTGGGGAGAGCCAAAACTCTGCAGAACATAAGCAGTAAGTTTAGCTATACTCCCCAAATGATAGAATGTAGCCAGTGAAGGAAGTTATTAGTAATCTAAAGTCATTTCCCAGCTAATGAAGTCAGCTAAACATGCTGATAAGTGTTTAGAATTAAAGGATGATGACTTCATAATTTATCTTTTCTTTTTGTCTAGAGAACAATGGTGATTAGGAACAAATATGCTGAATTCTCTCATGCACAGAAAATTCTCCCTTGAAAGAAAAAGCTTCCATCAGAGGCCTCATTCCCAGGTTCTGTGGCATTTCAAATATCATCTCTGAGAGAGTCTAATTGCCCACCAGGCCAAAGGCAAGCACCAGATGCCTGTCTGAACTGGTTTGCACTACCAAGGCAGGTGTCAGACTTGATTATTTTGGTCCTTCAGAGCCACTGACATTACCTTTAACTGAAGCAGGCAAGTAGGGACTGCCATTCTTATGATGCTGTCTGAAGAGGTCTTGATGTCCACCCTCCAGTCCATGTCGACCAGCCGGGGCAGGGAAACTGAGGGATTAAAAAAATGGGTCTGTTAGGCCCAGCAGTACCTGATTATACCAGACCCTGCAGCCTGTGACCATGCGGACCACGTACATGCTGCTCCACTTCTGGCTCCAGAAGTGTACAACTTTAGTGCAACTATATTGTTTCACAGCATTTTTAATCTGAAATAAGCAGTCTCTGAAGGCCTTTTCATGACATTGGAAGGACAAAAGGGATTCTCCCATCATTACATGCAATGATGGTACAGTGCAAGACAAGCATGGGTCAATTCATAAAGCAGCTGGGAGAAGGAGAGCAGTAAGATGTCCTTTCTACATCTTCATCCCCTGCCTTGCTGCCTGCAACACTCAACAAGTGTTTCATCAGGAGTTGCTCTGGGACCTGCATGCTTACTGCTCTGCTCTGAAACTGGTAAGAAACCAAACAGGAAAGCTCTCAAAATCCAGCAGTACAAAACATGCTATTTCAAGTTACCCAGCCTGTGAGCCAAAGCATCCTGCAGTACAGCAAATGTACTGCTAAACTACAATTTTCACGTGTCCTGCCAATTCGTTACAAATATTTTAAATGTCATCCTAATTACATGCAGTCTAACAGAAAACATTTAACAGTCTGCTGTAACACTGACACCAATAGCTCAGGGCTGGAGACCTCATGAGCCCTCCCAAGGAAATGAGGACAGGTCTAACTTGGCTGCTAAGGAAAGAGCTGTCTCACTAGGCAATTGCAGCCTGCCTGGATTCTGCCTATCATAGGATGTCTAATTTCCTCCCCAGGGGTTGATTGCTAGCCTTCCTACTGACTCCAGAGGCTCAGGTTGCTTCCTAACTGTGCTTTATTGCCTAACAGAACTTTTTCTCCCTCCTCCCGCTACCTCCCTGTGCAGACCTCCAGGGGGCAGTGCACAACTGGCTGCCATGCTCCTGCTTTTGGAACACATTCCAGTTCACAGTCGGTCAGGGCCAGCATTTGGCAGCATTTGCAACAACATAAAATGCATCTGTTTAGCCCTGTATGTTAATTTACAAAGATTGATTGCTGGTGGCTTTGGGAGGGGCAGGAAACCATTCACTTTTTTATGTTAACACAGATCAATCTGTTGGAATGCCTGCCTTGGACCACTGCCTTGGTCCCCTATGTAACATATGTCAGATATTTCACGAACACAATACTAAAATAATCCATCAATTCCTACAAGACAACCTCATTTCAACACTGTTAAATATTCATCTAATGAATACAAAGACATGAGCATCTGAGCAGAGCTCCTGGGTGGTGCTCCAAGCCAGCCTTGCTTCTGGGTTGTGAAGGCATAGCCAGTGTGTCATGCTCACTCTCATCTCCTCCAAAACATGGTAGCATATAAGGATACAGGAGAAAGCATAATCTGTCTTGGTAACACTGTTTGGTGTAAGCAACTAGTGTGTTAGCGTTAGGCAATAGTTTCTTACCTCTCCCTATTTATACTCCCCTAGAACTTTGAGGCACAATGTATTTCCAGGTATTCCAGTACTGTTTAGATGTTGGACATTAGCTCCTCTGCAGGCAAAGGAAAGGGGAAAGAGGATCTGTGCAGACCTTGGAGTACTCTCATATATCAGCTCTCAGTTATAAGCCTCTAAGTGCTACAGTTGTAAAGAAAACCTCTTGGGGAAAAAACCAAGTGTAGTAGCTGCACAGAACATCTAACTGGGATGTAACTCACTGGCCATGTTTCTACTGTTAAAGTTGGCATTCCTTTATTACATCACTGTTTAGAAACGTGAAGAAAAAGCAGGTACAAAGATATGCAGTGTACCTACTGTTGCATGGAAATGAAAGAATGCACAGGATTGACTAGATATGCAAGGATAAGGTATTCCCCAATATATACATATCCTTTACAGTGCAGTTACTGCATACAAACATCCCTTAATGACCTGAATGGGGAAGTCAGAGTGCTTCAGTTTCAAAAGTTTTACAAATAATTGCTATACACTGCACCCTGCTAGGCAGCCAGACACTGAGCTTTAAATGGAACTGCTGGAGAACTAGAAACAATTTGGCACAGCCGCACAGATCTGAATACAAGTCTGTTGGCTTCTGCTAAGCTCTGTGATGCCACAATCTTACAGCTCCATCTAAGCCCAATGGGGATAACTCTGTGCTACATTACCATGCACTGTTCTACACTAGAAGCTCGAATGACCTCAGGAAACATCAATTCCATCAAGATGTGAACTACTACTTACTCTGACTTGCTTGTGCTTCATTCCTCCAAGCAGAGCTGTGAAAAAGCAGGGAAAAACAATATCAACAGTGTTTTAGGGGAAAAAAACCCAGAAAAAAGGTAGGGCAAGCACTTGGTATGGTTTATCCCTGACAGAAGAGTCACCAGCAGCAAGCAGGGGACAGAGACTAACTATGCTGAGTGCTAAGAAAAGGCTGTCACTTGTGGGTAATGTTAGGCAAACTGGTGACCAACTACTGGTTCTTCTGAAAGTACAGCTCACTTATGGCATGTACCTTTCTCCTTGGTTTTATCAAAGCACTGGGCTCCCTCCCAAGCACTGAGTTGTACAAGGATGGAGATCTGCCCTCCTCTGCCATCATCTCACCCATGCTCTATAACATACAGTGCCTCCACACCTGAGCCAAGGTGGCAAGTGGATGGGGATCTATCTGGATACTACCAGGGATTTTCTACTGCTGAAATCTAGCCCTCTAAGCTCTATTGTCATCTGTAGCATTTTTTCATCACACAGGTGAGTTGTTTGGATAAAAGGGCCTTTGCATTACAGGAATGAGGCCCGTGTCCATTTCAAAATTCATGGGAAAACCCTGTGTGCGCCATTCCACTCAGATGACATATTTCATTCAACTCTGCTCATCCCAATCTGCGTGATTACACCTAAGGGGCACGTGAAATTCACAGAAACAAGCCTTTGCACGTTGCCAACTACCCACATATCAAACCACATACAAAGGCTTTAATTCTCCAGCTGAAAGGAAATGGCAGGTGGGTAGCACTCACATATTCTCCAAGATTATCTTAGTCAAAAGGTTTTTCAGATTTTGGTGGAAGTTTTCTGGGAAAAGAGAGAGGATATCTTCTGCCCTCGTCAAGCCGCAGTACACGACATGCCTGGTGAGGTTGTGCAAAGCAGATACCAGCTGTCAGAAAGGAAGAGAAGAAAGGGCTGTGCTGGGCTGAAAAGCATCACATACAGCACGGGACAGGCCTTCAGCAGCCAGGAGAGACACAGCTTCTGCTGCGGGACCGACACCGCCAGGGCCTCGCTCATCCAAGCACGGCCTGGCAGCCTTAGCAGGAGAGGAGCCGAGGTCCCCGCTGCCCTCTGGTTCACAGCCTCAGCCAGTTCCCTTCCACCCCCTGTGCGGCCCCTCGGGACCGTGCCCCGGGCCGAGGGTCGCTGTTACCGAGCTCTTCCCGCTACAGCAGCGGCCGCGGAGCCCGCACCTCCCCGAGGGCTGGGCCACCGCCGCGGGCCCTTCCCGGTTCCTTTCGCCTTAGCCCCGCTCCCGGCGGCTCTGCCTCCCTCCCTCCCTCCCTCCCGCAGGGGCCCGCGGCTGCCCCGCCCGGCCCTACCTGCTCCGCTTCTTCGGGGCCGGCGGCGAGCCCGGGGCAGGCGCGCTGGGCCAGCGCTCCGAGCGCGGCGGGCGGGCTGGAGAAGCACTCCTGGCACAGCTGCCGCACGGCGTCCTTGGACGGCGCCTGGCGGGGAGCAAAGCGGGGAGCGCTCAGCCGCGGCAGCCCCCGCGGCCGGGCCGGGCGCCCCGTCCCCCCGGGGCCCGCTCACCTTCAGCAGGCTCTGCAGCGCCACGAACTCCGCGTCCCGCAGCGCCGCCATCTTGGCGGGTCAGCTGTTCCGCGCCCCCCCGCCGCCATGGCGGCGCCCTCAGCGGGGCGGGACGGGACGGCTGTGCGCCTCAGGGAGCGGGGCGAGCCCTAAACATACCGCCTTGCCCTCTCCGGTCTACTCCTGGCGTTTGTTGTCAGTGCACATCTCTACGTTGGATGTAGAATTTAGCTGTAAACGCGCCATTTCCAGCCAGCGGGAACTGAAGGCAAAGGATTTACCATGACACTACTGCAGTGATACGGAAAATTGTCTTAGCAAACTGCATTTTTCACTTTGTAAAGGATTAAAATAAGTCCTGTTTCTGAGAAAGTCTTCTCTTTGTGTTGTATGGTTCCCAGCAGATCTGGTCCCAGAGCATTGGTAATTTACGATCTTTCCCCATCAGTGCCTCTGTCACAGGATCCCCATCCTCATTTCCATCTGCCTAGGTTTGTTACACGGTGAGAAATGCAAACATGTAAACGCTTCTTGCATTGGGCTCCCCAAGCCTGGCAGGGAAAAGGGCTTACTCAGCACAACTGATTTCCCTGCTATGCATTGGGACAGACCAGAAGGTGAAGGCAAGAATGGTGAGATCCTAATTTTTTGTTTCCAAAATGAAATGTTTGCAGTTAGTGGGTTAAACAATAGCATCCCAGAGGAAAAAAAAACATGGGGTAATGGTTAGAGGTCGAGGTTTAGGAAACTTGAATCATGTTCTCCTGACTCTGCTTCAGTTTTCAGATGAATCAAGGTAGGTCACTTTTGTCATGAATGACAGGAAGGTAATGGAACTCACTGTATAATATAACGTCCTGCATTAATAAATGTGGGCATTTATTAACCTCAATAGTAAACTTAGAGGTTTTGAAAGGATAAACAGAATGAAGGCACTGTGAAAAAACAACACTTAGAATATAAGCAAGTATGCCTAAAGGAAACTTGGGGATTGCTCACAGGATATCACTTACTACTGTAATTGTATTATTGACCTCTTATAATCTGCCTGCCTGTCTTTTTCCCAAACCAATAAAACTGGCATTTTCTACAGTGAGAGGTAAGCAGAATTTTTCTAAGGAGTAAAACTTCTGAAATGCTGTATCTAACTGAGGAAGAGGAACACTCATATTTTTCAGGGCTTTTCTAAAGCAATGGCTTTACAAAACTTTACTAAAATCAGATTGATCCATACCTAGTGTATTGGGTTTGCATGGCAAGGTTCTGGTACTGGGGGGTGCTACAGAGGTGGCTTCTGTGAGAAGTTGTTGAAAGCTTCCCCCATCCCCAACAGAGCCAACACCAGCTGGCTCCGAGACAAACCCACCGCTGACCAAGTTCAAGTCCGTCAGTGAGGCCTTTAGTGCCTCTGGGATAACATATTTAAGAAGGAAAAAAAAGTTATTGCACAGATGTAGTTGCAGCCAGAGAAGAGAAGAGTAAGAATATGTGAGAGAAACAGCCCTGCAGGCACCAAGGTCAGTAGAGAAAAAGGGGGAGGAGGTGCTCCAGAGCACCGGAGCAGAGGTTCCCCTGCAGCCCCTGGTGCAGACCATGGCAAGGCAGTTGTGCCCCTGCAGCCCATGGAGGTCACCGGGGATGCAGAGATCCACCTACTGCCCCTGGAGGAGACCCACAGCAGGGCAGTGGGATGCCCAAAGGAGGCTGTGACCCTGTGGGAAGCCCATCCTGACAGGACCTGGGGCCCCATGGAGAGAGAAGCCCATGCTGGAGCAGGTTTGCTGGCAGGACTTGTCACCCTGTGGGGACCCACACTGAATATTTCTTAAGAATTGTACTCTGTGAAGGGACACACGCTGGAGCAGTTCATGAAGAACTGCAGCCTGTGGGAAAGACTCATGCTGGAGAAGTTCGTGGAGAATTGCCTCCTGAGTGAGGGATCCCACACTGGAGCAGGGGAAGGAATCCTTCCCCTGAGGGGGAAGCAGCGGCAGAAACATGTGATGAACAGACCATAACCCTCATTCCCATCCTCCTGCACTGCTGGTGGGGCAGAGGTAGAGAACTGGAAATAAAGTTAAGCCCAGAATGGACGGAGGGCTGTGGGGAACGTGCTTTTAAGATTTGCTTTGCTTCTCTTCCTGCTCTGGTTTCGGCTGGTAATAAATTCAGTTAATTTCCCTAAGTGAAGTCTGTTTTGCCCATGATGGTAATCGGTGAGTGATCTCAACTCATGAGCCTTTTGGGGGTGATGGAGCAGCTTTGGTGGCCACCTAACATCCAGCCAAGATCAAACCACCACACTGGGTTAAATACTTAATTGTACAGAGTAACTTTGTCAGACAAGTAGGTGGAGAGATGCAAAGAGTGGGGGTGACATGCACTCAGAACAAAGATGCTACCTACGAGTAAGAACAGCTGGCATCCTACTGAATTCCTTCTCCAGTTTGCCTCCTATTGTTGCCATTTCCTCACTCTGGGAGCCTTATAATCTTGAAGAAATAATGACAGGTTTGATTTAAAATCAAAATTGAAATGCTGTTTGTAGCTTATGGTCAGAAGCCAACAGAAGTTCTTAGTAAAATGCTTTATCTGAGGGTGGTTAGACCTCTTCTTTCTCCTTTCTTCTCTTTTTTTTCTTTCTTTTTGTATTTTTTTCCTCCCTTCCTCCCTCCTCTCTCTCCTTTCTTCCTTTCTTCCTTCCCTCCCTCCTTTCCTCCTACCACTGTAATGATAGGACAATTAATAAGTAAATTTAGGATAGGTATTAGAAAGAAATTTTTTACTATGAAGGTGGCAAGACACTGGAACAAGTTTTCTGGGGAGGTTGTGGATGCCCTGGCCCTGGCAGTGTTCAAAGCCAGGTTGGCTAAGGCCTTGAGCAACCTGGTTTAGTGGGAAATGTCCCTGCCCACAGCCAGGTGGGTTGGGACTAGATGATCTTTAAGGTCCATTCCAACTAGTTAACATTCTACGATTCTATGATTCTGTGGTTCTATGGTATGGATTTTACTACAGGGAGCTGGATGAGCGAGCAGTCTCCAGACTGTGATACTCTTAAATACCCTTGATAATTTTCTGAATTCAGGGTCTCCTGGACATGGGGATGTGGGTGTGTGAGAATATATGTATGGGTGTATGCTGTCTGCTGTTCTTGTTTGTGACCTCTGTTCCCAGGGATGTAAAAAACCCTTGAGAACTGGTGTTTCATGAAGGGAGAGAGGATTAGGGATCCTGGCTGGGAATCACAAGTGAGAAGGGAGGCAAGGCAAGAATGGTTGACCTCTTAGAGTTAGGTAGGGGGTTTCTGGTGGGAGTGGAGGACCTCCTGGGCCTTGCAGAAGGAGAATAGTTCTTCATTTGCCTTTTCACTTGAAATAACAAATTGTGCTAGTGTTCTATATCTACTGGTACTTGGCAAGTCATAGCCAGGGGGAATTCCCTTGTCAGGTATATACACAGCTCTCTGCTGGACTCTGAGGGATTTATGCATTCCACTACCTGGAAAATATCAGGAGTAAGTTGCCTGTGTGCCCTTGTCCTTTTCTGATGGAGATGGACGGACAATTATGTTTTATTTAAAAAAAGGAAAAAAAGGAAAGGGAGGTATATGAGGCATTGAAAGAACTGTCTGCATTTCACATAAATAAAAGTATTTATTTTCAACTGAAGCCAGCCATCATGACAGAATAAATTACATGATATCACAAGGCAAAAATCAAGAGTTGGAAAGCTGAGTGAAAGAATTTCAGTAAGTCAGTGTACAATACACTCAGTGCTTTTATACATAGCTACATAACTCCAGTGACAGATAAATACTTAGCAAAAATGGTTTTTTATATATAGTCCATCCACTAAAATGAGAGCCCAAAATCAATCTGTTTGTTGAGGAAAAGTCACTCTTGCTCTTCCTAATATATTCAAGGTAAAAAAAAAAAAAAAAAAAAAAAAAATAAGGAGGAGCCCCTGGTGGTCCAGTGGTAAGGGCGCTGCGCTATCACCGCGGAGACCCGGGTTCGATTCCCGGTCAGGGCCACTCCCGGGCAGGTGGGGCTCGTTAGCCCTTAAAGGCAACCCACCTACGTCCTAAGGACCTCGCTGCCACCGTCCAAGCTCGCTTGGCCCCGGCAGATGAACCTTAGGATTAAAGGGTGGGCTCAGTTCCGCGCACGCTGTGTCTCACCTAAAAAATCCAATGCGCAGGCTGGAAGGTGGAAAGACCTTCCCCGGATCTTCGCTCGCGAAGACTGGCCATTATTAAAAAATAAGCATAAAAAACCAAACAAGTGACTTGACAAACCCCATTTGAAACAGAACCTTTTTTTCCCTTTATTCCTTTTTTCTTCTTTTTTTTTTTCTCTTTTTCTTTTTCTTTTTTTTTTTTTCCCCTTGAGAAGTGGAAAAAGAAATAATAAATTTAGCTTCCCTACAATTCTCCAGGGAAAGAAGTACACAGTTCTACTCACTTTGTCCATTCACGGGTCTCTGGGAGAGAAATCCCTGGGGTATTAAGGATTTGATGGGAAGAGCTATTAGTTTTTTCCCCAGAGTGTAGTGGGGGAAAAAAGGGTATTGACTGGAGCATCTGTAGCACAACAATGGTCTCTTCCTTAAGGGCTTTCAGCTGCAGATCAGGGCTGTACTCTGTAACTGCTCCCTGCTGGGTGTGTGCAATTTTAGTAATGAAGTTGCTTATTCTTTTCCCAATTAGAAGAAGCAGGACTTAACTCTTAAATTAATGCAGTAGAGATATGACATCAAGTATGCGTTCATCGAACTGGACGTAGACTACGTGGTGATCAAGAGCAAAGTGCTGTGTCCAGCCAGTCTGTGGGTAAGCCCTGCAGTTTCAGGGTACAGGATTTCCAAACAGTCCCCTGTCTGCTTGCCAGCCCTTACTAAGTCCACGGGAGAGTCAGCAGGAGAAAAGCCTCCTTGTGCACCATCCACTGTGGTGCAGACTGATGCATTAACTTCAAAACATCTTGTTCTTCAGCCAGCTAGACAGGAGACATGACGCCGGGGTGATAGAGCATAAGGCATCCCTTCCCTTCTGGCAGTCCTGCTGCAGAGACAGATGTATCCTGTAGAGGGAGAGAGA